ACGTCGTGTACGCATTCTGTGGCGAGGACAGCAGAACTAACATGAGCTTCCTCCTAGCACAGGGCATTTATTCCTCAGGTGATCAGTGGAATTACACCGTTAGCATGTTTTGGGCTCTTCTCCTTCTACAGGAGATTTGGGACGAGAGTTAGAGGAATGTTTCTGGGGAGGTGATTCCCCAGCCTCCCAGCCTCCCTCCCTCTTGCTAGGGAGAAAATGGGATCTCCACTTCCCACCAGCTTTAAACCCCTTTCTGTGACCTGCCCTCAATAGCCGCCTGAGTCTGTTCAAAGGCATCAGCTCAAAAAGCCATCTCATCCCCTGACTTGACATTGTTATCCCATAGACATGGCTTTACTTCGGCCTTACATATGCTTAGAAATGCTCTTGCGCAACAAGATCAAGCGTTCCTTCAAAACTTGCCACCTCTTTACCCCTCCCCCGTTTTCCCAACAAATCTTTCATTTTGTTTACCTATTCCCCATGACTCATCCCAATAGCCCTTTTAAGAGTCCTAAATTGAATTCTATATGTTTCAGGGGTAACCTGAAAACTTCGCAAAACAGTATTTTAAAATTTACAATAGTCTAAAGCATCTTCACTAGGCATTCCATTGAATCCATTTCGAGCTTTACCAGTTAATTTCGCAATCAGGGTAGGAACTCTCTTACCATCAGGGATTTCATGTATTGCACACAGCTTTCAAAGGTAGTCAGATATTCAGCAATATCGTCCTCTTCACTGGATGCAGGACATAAGTGTTCCCATTTGTGGATTTTTGGAGTGATGGGAGTCGTTGGGGTCGGGGGCCTCTGGTTCTGCTTCTCTAGCAGGTCCAGCGGGGGGTTTCTCTCTCTCTCTCTTTTTCTTCCATAGCCCTTCTGTGTGCAGCCTCCTCTTCTCTGAGCCTCATTTCTGCCTGCCACATTTGAAACTCGCAGTCCTTTTCCTTCTCTGCTGCTTCCAGTCTGACCAGCTCTAGTTTTGTAACTGCCTCACTGGTCCTCATTCTTCTGTTTCTTGTGCTTATTTCTCCTCACCCGAAAAAAACAAACAGAAAATAACAAAACTGTGACCTCCTCCTGACTGTTCTTAGTCACTGCACTTAAGACTCACTTAAAATCACAAATATCAGTGCCTGAACTTTGAACTCCACTTGGAGTAACAAGCTGTAAATACATCCTGCTCGCTGCGCCGCTGTGATGTTCCCCTCTGCTCCTGGAGAGTTTTGCCTGGGCTTGTTTTAAGCCACGAGGACACATTTTCAGTCTCATAACTATACACATGAAATTACAACCTATAACATTTCTATAACAACCATACTCAGTGTATCATGAGCCTTCGAAAGAGACCCGACATGACAAACTTTGCATTAGATACCACACAATCATACTATAAGGATGAACATGGGGGTGCAGGGTGTTCTCCCGAGGTACAGAGCATCACAGTGATATTGTTAAAGAACTTGGAATAGGCTCTCAAATGTTCAGACATCGCCACTGCCTTCACACTCCTCCACACTCCACACACAGGGCCGAGTGAGGACAAGGAGATGGCCAAGATCACCTTCTGGCCAGCAGCGCTAAGCTCGGGTAGGGGACGGTGTATGGCTCCCTGTGAGTTGGAGGTGGAGTTCCCATCCCAGCGTACACAAAGCCCCCAGAAACATGCTGTCTAAGTTACTCAGAAAACCTCTCCTCTGCTTCCTGATCACTCAGCAGCCCCCTCCTGGTCAGCCTAGAAGCTTTTCCATCGGAACAGGAGAAGCACCCGGTCACGAATCTGTTTGGTTTTCACACCGTACACGATGGGGTTCATCATGGGAGGAAAGAGGAGGTAGAAATTGGCCAGCAGGATGTGTACGTGTGGGGGGACTGGGTGGCCGAACCTGTAAATTATTGAGGAGAGAACCACTGGTGTGTAGGCCACTAAGATGGCCCAAAGGTGGGCAACACAGGTGCTAAAAGCCTTGAGTTTCTCTTCCTTGGATGCCAGGCTTAAGACAGCCCTTAGGATCTTGACATACGATAGGGAGATGAACATCAGATCCAGCCCCACAATGAAGAAAGCAACAATGATCCCATAGATGTTATTAAACCTGGTGTCAGCACAGGCCAGCTTCACCACGGCCATGTGCTCACAGTAGCAATGGGAGATGATGTGTGACCGGCAGTAGGGCAGCCTCCTGAGGACGAAGGGCAGAGGGAGCACTAGGAGAACAGCCCGGGCAAAAGCCGCCAGCCCGATCTTTGCTATCACTGAATTGGTCAGGATGGTGTCATACCGCAGGGGGTTGCAGATGGCCACGTACCTGTCGAAGGCCATGGCCAGCAGCAGAGCAGTCTGCATGATGGAGAACGAGTGAAGGAAAAACATCTGCACCAGGCAGCCGTTTAAGCTGATCTCCCTGGAATTAAACCAGAAGATGCTCAGTATTTTCGGCACGGTGGTTGTGGATAAAACCAGGTCGATGACGGCCAGCATGGTGAGGAAATAGAACATGGGCTTGTGTAGGGAGGGCTCTGTCTTGATAACATACAAGAGGGTGCAGTTTCCTAGAAGGGCCACGGTGAACACTGAGGAGAAGGGGATGGAGATCCAGAGGTGCAGAGATTCCAGCCCCGGGATGCCTGTCAGGAAGAACACTGATGGATCAGAGCCTGTGCTGTTGGAATCTGACAGGTTGTCTTGTTGTGGCATCTTTTGCAAGTCTCACATCAATGTCTTTCCTTTCAATAAAACATAACACGTGAAATGAACAGACCCTGTAAATTAAATACATGCTAGGGGCCAGTCTCAGCTCTGGAAGAAGTGGATTGACCTCTTTCTGAGTTCATCAGTCATGTTGCAATACTAATCATACAAACACTTATATTTTTCTGTGCAAAATCATTTAAAGTTCTTAGAATGTCATTACAAGTCATGAGTTACGAACCCCACTTGGTTACAAATATCCTACCTGGTGTATCTTGCTACTAGAAGATGCATATTGTTTAGTGTGCATTCTCCCGTGAAGTACCTAGTATATCTGGCCGCACGGCACATATTTTCAGCCTAGAAATATCTGGCATGTTAAGCTGCATGTAGCAAGATGTGCCTGGTACATTCAGCAGCACATTCTGGGTATTCAGCCTGGATGTACGTAGTACATCGGGAACATGCATGAGTAGTGCTATTTTGATCTCAGCTTCAGAGCCCGAGCCTCAACATCTACACAGCTATCCTCGAGAAGCACAAGCCTGCATCTGTCAACCCGAGCTGTGAGACTAACTGCCGCTCGCTGCGTAGACATAGCCAAAGAACCTATGAGTCTGATCCCGCTACCATTGAAGTCAGGGGAAGCCCTCCCCACCGACTTCTGGGATAACT